ACCCACCCTTTCCCTGTATCTGTATCCTTTCAGCAACAAAGGAGAAGTGGTGGGCAACTACTTTGACTTCATCATCAACACGGGTCACACGGGCAAAGACAGCAGCCTGTCCTTGGAGCTAGGAGATCGGGCGCTTCTGGACATGGCAGCGATACATCAGAACAGACTGCAGGACTTGGGTGGGTCTTGTGGCTTGCCTGTCAAGGCCTTTGTCTTATAATAGTGTGGAATGGAGGGCTATATAAGTGCATTCAAATATTATTGTTGTTGCTGTTGTTATTTATTATTAGCATTGTTAGAATTTGTTGTGGCTTTTCATCCTTCTCCTCCTCCTCCTCCTCATCCTCCTCATCTTCTTCAGTTGGGGAGTGCAATGGTATGGTTTGCTTCTTCTTTCCTGTTAAACATCTGCCATCCTTATCTACCCCCCCCCCCCCCTCTTTTCTCTGTATATTACTCAAATCTTTGGCGCTTGTGAAAGGAAGGAGCAAACCACATCACAGTATCCACCAACCACCCACCCACCTACTTTATATTATGCCTATTTTGGCGTGGTCAAAGAGTAACCATATTATTAACGAGGTGTGATTGTCAAAAAGTTTGTTTCTATTCTTGTCTCGCCTTAATTTGTGCACCATAATGTTGGCCAAAACTGCCAGAGAACCGTCTCATGCTGAAGCCTCTTGTTGCAATGTTCTTTGTGTGGACCGTGGGTGGTTAGAGGGAGCCACTGGTCGATCTTACATCTTTTTTTTTCTGTCTGTCTGTTATTCCTGTCTGTGTCTCACATTTTCCTTGCTCTCAATGACCGTTATTGTGTCAACGTGTTTATTTTTATTCAATACCAACATTTGTGTTTGTGGTTTCTTTTTTCAGCGGAAGAAGACCTCAGTGGTTGCAGAGGAGATTTTGCTCCGCCTGTGTCTGACGATGTGGAAATGGATGATCTCCCCTTACTCCCCGTGGACGATGGAGGTGATGCTGACATGGGAGACGATTGTGGAGGGCTGGATGCGCCTGGTCAGAAATCTCAGTCTGCGGATGAGGTAGGAGCTCTTTTAGCTTTTCCATGAGTGTGTACGAAGAGTGTGTAGGCGTCTATTTGTTTAAGTCTTTGTTAGAGTGTATTAGCTGGTGTTGATGTGTCTTGTCTTCACTGTTGTCCTTATGTGTATTTAATTAATGTATGGCTGAGAAAATCCTTTCTTATATTGTTGAACCCAGAAAGTAAAATTTTTAAAGAGATAGGAAAAACTGTTTCATTCTTTTAAAAATTGCACCAACTTTATGAATCAAATCATGCTTTTTTTTCAACTTTTAGAATGTGAAGTTTGTCAAAATATATTTTTTTCTCATGCAACCAATACCACTGATCTAAAAATTGCAATAAATTTTTTTTTTTTGGATTATCGGCCTAGTATATTTGAACAGTTGGTATGATGTCTGTCTCTCCTGCAGAGAAATGCTGCACTCCGAAAATCAAGAAGGAAACGAGTAACTTTTGCAAGACCAGAGCCAAAACAGGTTAGTATCCTCTTTGCTTATAATTATGTTTCGAATATATTGTTTTCAGGGTTTTCAAATTTGGGCAGTGCCAATTTCTAGGTCTTTGCAGTAATGTGTACGGAATTTTTTAAAAAAAAAATTTTTGTATTTTTAGTTGGATATCGGTAATGTTTTATTTAAAATGTTCTTAATTTACAATGGATTTCTCATAAAGTTCATTTTGTTAAAACAGATGATGTCATTTTTTCCTTGTTGAAGTTATGTTCCTGTATGCAAGGAACGACTTCTTTGATTTTAGTATCCCTAAAGGTTTTATTTTTGCTCCCCTTCTTTGTTTTCCGTGTTTCTTATCAAATTACATTTCTGTATACAGTTGGACACAGAAGACACAAGCACAGAAAACTGGAAATCATGGATAGCTCATGCAATTTGCAGTTCGGCGACTGAAATCTTTTCCATTTTTCAGTGTGGGTTCATCCAAATTGTGGATGTGTCAAACACATTTATTATTCCCAGACATGTTTAACTTATCCGTGCCCGACTGTATTATTTTATCAGTCCAAATGCACTTGTGTCAGATTGCGTACAATCTTTCTGTTTTTCAGGTGTTCGATAAATGGGCTTTACTGGATCCACATGACAAAGGCAAAGCTGCTGAAAAGCCTTTAAAGAAAAGTAGGTTGCATAATTTTGACCCTGTTACTGGCTTTCGAAGTGTAACAATAATTTTTCCCCTAGTCTTGTGCAAGAAAAGATAGGTTTTGATTTGCACACAGAGAAGACTAAACAGAGTTTATGGTATAGCGGTTAGATGTTTCCCTGTTGCACGTCGGAGACCCTTAGTTCTAATCGCCTGTGGGGAGAACATTTTTATCACGTATCTCGATCTTTCTGCTGAGATATATCCCTCTCGGTCTCGGTTGGCCCTAGCAGGTAGAGTTGGAATCCCGCCTCATAAATTATCTAAATTGTGTTGATGGGGATGTAAAATCACCTACTTTTTTTGTTGTTAAATTAAAGATTATTTTATCAACTTGGCCTGCTTATTTCCCATCTGTCTCTTGGGGTGCAGCAACCCAAGTTGGTCTTGACGAACAGGTTCAGAAAAGCGTAGCCCACCTTCTCAATAGTCTTAAATTTTGTTGAGATTGGTTAATAATTAACCCCTTTCGTTGTCACATCATATCTTCCCGCTTTCTTGACCAGGAAATGAGTCCAGTCGAACCTGCTCTAATGACCACCTGTATAAGACAATCACGTGTACAAACAGCCACTTCCTATTTCCTCCCTTGCATATTTTTTTTCCCATGGTAATGACAGTACATGAGATGTCCACCTGTCGAAGAGAACCACTTTTCTCCATGACAATGGGTGCTGGCCGTCTTAAACAATTTGTGGGTGGTTGGCGGGTGCTCTGGTGTGTTTGCTTTTTCTTTCCTATCAAACATCTATCATCCTTATCTCCCCTTATTTCGGCGACAAAAAAAAGACTTGATTATAACTGGAAGAAGATGTAACCTCTGAACGTAAGGTTTGCAGGATATAGAATATAGCCACTTTATTACTTGAAGAGACACTTCTTTATCTGCCTGATATTTTCTGGTTTTATTATCTACGAGTACCTATAGTTCGTCAGTCTTTCTGAGTCGGTCTATCTATCTGTCTCTCTATTGATCGCTTTGTCCATAGCCTTTTCCGTGAATTTGTTGTTATTTTTTTTTTTCCATTCCAGAAATACCATATAAAATTCCAGCGGGCCTGGAAGATGATACGTCAAGAAAACGAAAAATAAAGGTTGAAATAAAGAAAGAGCTTCCACCGATAAATGAAGTGGTTGAAAAAAGTAAGTGACGTGGTAGATGTTGATACACCATGCCTTTCTGTTGGTTTTATGTTTTTGTTTGTTTTGTTTTGGGGTTTCTTTGTTTGGGGGGGGGGGGGGGGGGGATTAGTTTTTTTGGGGGGTGAGTGTTTTTTTTGGTTTTTGGAAAAAATGCCGCTGAGTGAGACTTGAACCAATTAAGAGTTGATATTGGATTATTTTCAGACAAACTGTTCATATTGTAATGGTTTTATACAAATTGGGAATGTGAGGGTTTTTTAAAAATGTATCTGATATTTGTGTCTGAGCAATATTTTTCAAATGTCCATAGTTTTGACTTGATCATGTTTGTTGAGGTAATTGAAAATATGGAAAAGTGAAATGTCTATTCTTTTAAATACTCAGTTGGGGTATGTGAGAAAAATAAGAGTTTGTGATCAAATTTTCCAGCTCTTCAAAATGATGGAAACATAAGAGGATGCATAACGACATTTGTAATAGACAGAAAGTACATGTTTTAAGAAGGGACTAGAACTAAGAAACGCTAAGAAAATGGTGTGAGTGGGTGGATGACGGGTGCTCTGATGTGGTTTGCTCCTTCTTTCCCATCGAACATCTATTGTCCTAATCTCTCCTCCTTTTTTTCTTTGCTTGTTACTCTCTAGTAACACATGATCTAATCTTTGACTCTTCTATGACCCGTTTATGTTGAAACTCACTAAAAACTTTACAAAATGGTATGATAATATAAAAGCTGTCTCCTTTTTTTTTTCCGTTCAGTGTTTTCCAACAGATCCAGTTTCCCAAAGAATCCCTTGAAAATTCCCGACTTCCCAGAGCTGGATGGAGCGTTTTGGAAAGAGTACAAACTCCGGGAAAAGATCAAGAAAGAGGAGATTAAGATGGTATGGGCAGTTTGTCGTTACGTAGTCGTCTACTGTGTTGAGGAATCAATTTTTACAATTTTTTGCCACTTAAATGTTGCAGTCTTTATAACTGTTTAATGAAAATTGTTCACAGTGTATTTAACTCTGTCTCTCCTCCCCCATCCCTCCTTCTTCCTGTCCCTGTCCCTCCTCCCTTTCCCCCTTCTCTCTCTGTCTCATTCACTCACACGCGCTCTCTCTGTCTCATTCACTAACACACACTTTGTTTCATTCACTCACTTACACTCTCTCACTCTCATTCACTCACTCGCTCTTTCACTCATGTCGACTTTCACATAACAGCAGTATTTTTTATTGTCAACATGTTGTGTTTCTTCGTAGCTGAAAATGGAAGAACAACTGGAGGAGCTAAGCCTTGAAGCTGAAGCGGAGGAAGAGCTCAGGGATGAAGAATTTCCTCATGGTCAGTACTGTAAATGATTTTTCTGTTTGTTTATTTTTTTTTGCTGTTGGTTTTTTTTTTTTTCCTCTTCTTGTTCTTTGGTACTTTTCCTTGAAAACAAGGAAGTTGCTAGGAATAGCAATAGCACAAGGTATTGCAAGATTATTTTAGCTCTTAGCACAAACTGTTGGTTGAAGGGGGGGTGGGTGGGGGAGGTGGTTATTCTTTGCCATGGATTTAGTTAGAGAAAATAACCGGTTTCATTGTGTGTGGAATACTTGATGCGGCCCTGACTCACCCAGACTCTACCTCCAACAGACCCTTCGTAATGTGAGTTTGATACCTCTGTTGGGTGGTTGGCAGGTTGCAGGTGCTTTAGTATTGTTTGCTCCTTTTTTCCTGTCAAATGTCTATCACCCTTATCTTTCCTTCTTTTTTTTCGTATGTTATTCTCTCGCAGCACATCTAATTTTGGGCACTTGTATGACCCATTTGTGTTTGCAAGGGCCATGAAACTCTTACTAAAAGTAAAACTGAGACCTCTGTTCTAATCCGTTCTTGCTGAAGGTGAAGGGTCGTTGTGCTGACTTGCCATAAACTCTGAACTCAAGCAGCCTCAATTCTCTGTCTGTAGAAGTTAAAGTGAATACTTTATTGATCAAATGCAATATGACTAATGCATGCCGTTTGTGTTACTAATCTATCTGCTTCTTCTTTCCTATCAAACATCTATCGTCCTAATCTCCGCTTCTTCTTTTTTATCTTTGATACTCTCTTTTAACACCTCTAATCTTCTGGCGCTCATATGACCTTATGCCATTGCGAGCGCCGTAAAACCTCTACTAAAACTGAAAAACTAATCTATGTGTGCAGATGACCTTGACAATGCGGCTGACGATGATGAGATTCCGGTTATTCAGCTCGACACCGATGCGTTTGGATCTGACCTTGAACATGGGCGACGTTTTATTAGCTCAGACATGGGTATGATTTTCCATGAGCATGCACACTACTGCTGCAACGTATGTGTTATCTTTAGAGGACAGTTCATATGCAAGCAGTTCTAATATTTCTGGAATTTTAGATTCTTCAGATTGTTTTTATAATTGTTTGAAATTAAACATTTTGTTATATGAGCAGCTTTGGCCCCGGAAACCTCTACGTTAGGGAATGTGCCATTCATGTCATTGTTTAGCTTTTGATGCTCATATTTGTTCACTTCTGACTCTTTCTCCTGCTACTCCTGGCTCCTTCTTACTGCTCTCTTTCAGACACATTCCTGATTTTAGGATAAGTAAGAACAGACACCTAGCCCTCTCAGATAAGAGAAAAAAATGTTGGAAGTCGTGTGTGCAAGTTGTGTACATTAAAGATCCCTTGGTGGTCAAAAAATGGAATAGGAGCAGGTTTCAGCTACTGCCCGGGCAAAATTCAAAATCAATTCCTACCGAAACTGAAAATACTCTAGCCAGTTATAGAGAGTACGTTTGAAATCAGAATGTGGCTATCTCAAGGCAAGGTGCCATACGAATTACGTAAAAGTCACACGCATAAAAATCAGTTGTGTTGCTCGTTGAAGAACCAGCAGTCGACTTACCTATGAGTTTTAGCAGGGGAATACGCAAAGAAGGAGAAGATTGCCTGATAGATTTCTTTCTTGCAGGTTATCAGACAGGATTCTCTGACGACATCACTCTGAGCTATGAAGAGCTGGTCAGAAGACATGTTGTAAGTTTTGTTTGAGTTTTAACTGATTTGGAAAAGTCCTAGTACTTTATGTGAGCTTGTTAAATATGCGAGAGCAACTTGTACTTTGTCACCACTATTTGTCTCAGAGTTTAAAAGATTAAACTTACAGTGAATGGTATTCTGACATTTTCAGATTTGTAAGTAAATTCAGGGGTTGAGTAAAGGCCTGTTATTACTTATCATAGGTATGTGTATTATTGTTCAGCGAGTTGTGGATATTTTTTCATGTTTTAGCGCAGTATTCCACAGGTGCTCACTTAGGCAAGCTTGAAAATTCTTGATGGATTTTTTTTTTCTTAGTACATATAGTAACAAATGTTAACATAGAATAAAGTTCATCTTTCATGTGGGTTTCACAGGCTATTCAGAGCTCAGAACTACCTGGTTCTCATTAATTTTTCATTGACATTTATTTAAACAGCAAGATAGAGGTAGGAAAAAGTAGGGTGCTACTAATTCTGTTTTTCCATTTGGACAGTTCTAACCACATTGTCTCTGATGTTCTTCCATACAGGAGCAGTTTTTAGCCAGTGCCAGTGAATATGCGCAGCTGACAGATTTATCTAAAAAAGTATCCGAATGGGAGGAGAAAATTAAGCCACGACTGGAGGAAGAGGTAGGTTCCTTTTAGGTGAATTCTAAAAAATTGGCAAGGTTCCATTTTGTTCTTAATGATGATAAGGGAGTGCTTATTTGGGCTACATGTATCCCAAATAAGAAATTAACCCCTCCACCCTAGCCCAGATTGGAAATTAACCCCTCCATCCACCTTATTTGGGCTACCCTTTCTTGCAAACGTAATTGATCTCTAGATAACAAGAGTTAAGTTACGATTTTTCTTTCCCAGTTTGGCTTATTTGTCGTTCGGTTTAGTTTTATCTCTGTGCTCAACAACAGTATACCACTACCAGCGTATAAATTATAATTTCGTATAACAGATATTCTAGAAAATGGACTGACAGTCTCCTGTTTTGTCCCAAAGTTTACTGGTATAACAATAGTAACTTTATATGGGTTAGGGTTGGTAAGTATATAGGGTTTGGATTATAGTTATCGTTTGGGGCTGGACCCAAATGGGGTTATCACAATAGACATAACGCGCTGTGAATATCAGCTTTAAATGGATGCATAATCCTCGTAGGTCGATGTGATACAATATACAGGGATGCCCAATCTCCGTTTTTTTTTCCGGTTATTGCATACACTTGCAAAGGAAAGAGGAATGGTAAGAGAAATGTTTTTGTTTGCTCATTTAAAGATTTTACTAGGTTCGTTTTAGGTGAGGTGTGATGCTCCGCTCATTTTCCATTTTTTTTTTTTTAAATCATTTGGCATCCCTGAATATTTATCTAGACCAGTGCCGTGAGCTGACACTTTGTTCGACTCACTTTGCTGCATTTGGTATATAGTAAGCTATCCTTAGATTCTACCACCTCGTCTCTCTCATTCAGTTTAGCCTAGTTTTTGACTCTGTGCTTAACATCAGTATACCCTTTTGTCTAACAACTGCCTTTAAATCTAGTTTCAGTATGATGCCGTTGTCTCCTAATTCTGCTCTCCCCCACCTCCCCACCTCCAGTTGTAGTTTTAGTAAAGTTTTATGACACTTGCAACACCATTAGGTCTTATAAGTGCCTACGATTATAAGTGTTGCAAGGGAGTAACAAACACAAAAAATCAAAGAAGAGAGAGATAAGGACAATAGATGTTTGATGGTAACAGAGCAAACGACACCAGAGCTTCTGCCAACCACACAACACACCCTCCCCCCTCACGCACTCACACACACCCACACACGCACCTACCTCTTTCTCTTGTTTGATGATCTTGTCTTTGTCTTCTGTTCAGGAAAAGCACGAGGCATTCGACATCCACAAGTATGGCACCCAGGTCATTGAACAGTTGGTCCGTGGTGAGACCAGGGCCTTTAAAGAACTGGTCCAAGGAAAGCCGCAGTTTGAAGTTTGCAGATGTGCGCTGGCAACTTTGCAACTGGTATGCTATTAAACGTTTGTGAGGCAGAGTGGTGAAATCAGGCGCTCGTCAAAATAATGAAAGTGAAGAAACTGGCATTTTTTCGCAGGTTTGGCAATTTTTTTAGAATTTTGGGTTTTTTGGCTCAACACCCACCGTGTCCATTTAAGAATACATCTCTGTGTGGATTGTACTGAAAAACATCAATTAAAGGCATAAAAAGTGTAAATTTTCTGTTTCCGTGGACACTCGAGTTAAGGAAATAACTATACTTTAGCGGCCATTTCATCGCTAATATTACCTCTGAGACCAGGTGACCCCCACCTCCTTCTTTCACAAATATCTCGATTTCTTTTTAAGACAAATGAACATTTCTTTCATCCAAAGCAAGACAAATGAACAAGCTTTAAAATGATTCCAATAACTCCCTCCATATGCCCAAAAATTGACGAGAGCCTGATTCCACTGTGTCGCGCCACATTTAGGTATCAGTAGTCTGGTGGGTTAGGCTACCAGGCTGGTAATCATCAGGTTTGCGGTTCAGGGGTTCAAGCTTTAGTTCAGCCCTACTGTTTGTCATTGTGGGGGAAAGCACTTTACACCAATTTCCCACACTTCACCGAGGTGTGAATGGGTCAGTGGCCATAGACAGCAAAAGATCTTGTCAGTATGTTAGTGTTTTAGCGCCTGTCAAATCAGAGCTTGCACTGTATGCTTCCCAGGAAGCTGAGATTTGTTTCAGAATGCTACAGGTCAGCTTGGGTAATAATATAAATTATAAAGAGCATAGAGCTTGCTATTGAGCAGGAATTTGTGCTACACAAATGCTAATTATTATTATTTTGTTAATTGTTTTGACATTGTAAGATGCTCAGTTTTTACTGTATTAGATTTTAAGAATTTTAAGTGGGTGTTTTCTAAAATCTTAAAATCTCTAACCCTATCCGTACGCCTGGGGTCATTTTATACCCCAGGGATTGTATTCTTCACATTTTAGAATACTTCTAGTGCAAAGATCTCTTTGAAACTGTCAGTATTTCTTAAAAAATCATTTTGACAGACTGCTATGTAAAGCGTATGGATCGGATTAATGAGCAAATTTCCTTTTTGGAAAGTGGGGGCTCAGAGTTCCCCACGTCGTATGGATACGATAGTAAAACATGATGTACGGATAGGGTTACGCAAGTACTGGGTACTTAGAACAACTGTGCTTTGAAATGCTGTGTAAAGTCTTCTTGTTCGTTTGCAGGTCAGGTCATTTGCTTTAAATTTGCATGCTATATTTGAATAATAGATGGGACTGCAGCGAAAAGCGACGCACACACACACATACACAATGCCATTTGGGTCATTTCTATTTTATCTATTAGCACTTTTTTTTTTTATATCAATTCTTCAGGCTAATGTCTACAATGTCGAGCTGTCAGTGGTACCGGACAAAAACGGCTGCATCATCGACCAACTATATGTAACTCTCCTCTCTACCAAGCGCCACTTCGAGGAACTGGAAGAGTACAGGGCACCCTCTGTACATGATGTGAAAGACTCATAGCATCGGGAGCTGGGGGAGGGGGGGGGTGAGAGCGGTTGGCAAAGTTGTGGTGGTTGGAAGGGGGGGAGTGGCAAAGTGGTGGTGGTTGGAAGCATGCAGGTGGGGGGGGGGGGGGTGTATAGTGAACAGACCTGCCAAGTACTCGGATAAAATTCGAGTTCTCCGACTATTTGTAACCCGTCGAAGAACTATTGGATTAACGTAAATTCCTCCTTTTTTTTTTTTTTTTTTCTTTTTCTTTTTTGGGATTGAATTCTATTTCCGTTGATCATGAACAATTTATCATGAATGATGTGAAACCTCACAGATTTATCTGCAATACTGGGGCGATTTATTGTGAGTGACATAAAAATACACATTCTTTCTTATTTGGAGTTAATTTACAATACACGTTTATTTGCCACAGTTAGTTTGTACTGTAATCTTTAATCTACTAAGGTTCTGGAGACTCATGATTTTTTTCCCCCCAAACTCCAATTTTTTGAGAATATACTTTGAGGGAAACTCCTGTTTTTGGTCATGGAGGGGTTTTTGGCAGGTCTGCGTTAACTCTTTCTCTACTAAGCTGTCCCCGTCGTTTTATGCAAGAAAAACTCCTGAAATTATTTAAACCAAGCGATTCTGTTAATTTTAACAAAGCGTGATAAAGGAAAATAATAAGAAATTATGCAAAAAATGATCAAGTTTTGCTAAATTATACGAGGTGCATTAAACCACGGGGACAGACTAAGGGGGTTTCCCTCACCTGTACTGGGCCTTGTCTGCGACCTACTTTCTGCTTCTGCCTATCCTTGGAAAAATTAAAGATTTTTACATTCAATTTTCAATAATAGCCACATGTATTATATATATAAATATATATGAAAACGAAAGGAAAATAATTATCTATCTCAGGATGTTGCTAGAAACGATCATTCTTCAGCCTGAGATTTCAATTTTGATTATTGTTACTATTGTTAAAGTAAGTAAGGTTCTTGAAGCAAGAAATGGAGAGCCGTGAGACATGGCTCGTGGTCCAGCGTTTGGAATAACACGAGCCGTGAAACATAGCCCACCGGTAGTGAAAGTGTCAGGGACAGAAGATAACATATATAATGTATGCCTTGTACTTGTATAGATTACAATTGAATATGTGTGAGGTGTTATTTGTTAATGCATAATGGTTTTTTTATCATTCCTACACACGCACACACACACACACACACATCTCTGTCTCTCTCTGTTTGTCTGTTTTTCTGTCTGTCTATCTACTCGTATCTGTCTGTCTGTCTGTCTCTCTCTTTCTCTCTCTCTATCTCTCTCACTCTCTCTCTCACTCTCTCTCTCTCTCCCTCCTTTCCCCCTTTTCTCTCTATCTCTCTCTAGCAATAGTGCTCCACTGCACTGCCAGTGGTATATGTGTAAACTCTGGATTAACTAGTTACCATCTCATTAAATTCATTTTGCAGTGTGGGGTTGGGTATGGAGAAAATGTATTACACCAGGCATGGGCAAACCACGACCTGCGAGCACTTTCAGTCTGGCCTGCAGGTCGACTCGGGTAATTACTAATGAATGAGGCCTCAGTGGGATAAATAATACTATTTATAAAATAAACTGTCCATCTAGAAAATAAAAATCGTCAATAGTCTACGACCCTGCTGCCCTTGAGTGACATATTATTATTCTAAAGGCTAAAGTGTTTGTTGTTGAATTCCTGCATGCTGTCGGCATCACTGACCGTTTATGAAGCCACAGCGCCAGAAGAGAGAGAGAGAGAGAGAAAGTGTTTGTTAAGTTTCACTTTTTTAGAGCTTGGGCATTTCAGCCAATTTCATCGGGCTTTCTCCTGCTTTGGCCCATGAGATAGTCAGAATCTCCTACTTAATCAATCGGGGCCCATGACTTGGACACGCTTACCCATGCCTGTATTAGACAAAACTGAAAACTGGATCTAGTGCCTTGAATTTCTCAGTTCATGCTGTGCTGATTTACTCTATATATATATAAGATAGTGAAATGAAATGTCACAGATTTTTTTGAAGTTTGCACAACTCCAGCAGAGCTTTGCGCAAAGATGTGTTTTGAGTCAAGGGAGACGTTTTGAATTTTAATAATTCTGAGGGAGAAGTTGGCTCATTTTGAGGTGCTACGAAATGTATCCCCGACTCTCACTGTAAGTAACTATCCACAAGGTAGGCGTGTAATTTTCCTTTACTTGTCAGACCTCATGAAATAACATTTTAACTAATTTTATCATTTTATCATGTGTCTAAATACAGTCAAACCTGCCATGACGACCACCTTGTAAATATGACCACCTGTACAAACAGCCATTTTCCTTTTCCCCCTTTGCGTTTTTTTTCGATATAATTTCACTGTGTAAAACGGTCACCTGTCCATCGCGACTACGGCCACCATTAAGAGATTTATCGACCAACAATCTAAAATGCTTGTCTGAGATGGCTGCCCACCAATCTTTCCCCGCTCAACACTTTGTCATAAATTATGTATTGTCCGCTAACGTTGTGGATGAGCCGTCATTATCCATTCACCCGTCGTTATTGTTAGCCTTTCCAATGGTCACGTTGCTTAGGTCGCCCCCAGTATTTTTATCCAAGTTGACCAATCGGTAATAATAAATTTTCAGCTGCTGGCGAGGGAGGCGTGTGTACCGTTATAACCAATGGGCCCCACCCACAGCATGTGCACAAATCGTAAATGAAATGAGAGGTTTCTGTTTAGGCGTACCTAGTCAATGAAGCCAGTCCATAACAAAAGACGTCAACACAAATTTGCAGCTGATGTGACGCTCATTCACCGAGTGGTGGCGACCCATTTGTTTGTTTTACTTTGTCACTCTGTCTTCCTCGTTTAACTTCTAGCACATTTCGGGGAGGGTGTTTAACCTTGCATTAAACCGTATATTTAAAAAATAAAACTAACCATAAAAAAATCCAACAAAAACCCTCTTATCCCCTCTCCCCTTTAAAGAAAAACACACAAAAAACGAGACATTTTGATAAGCCCTTTGGCAGTCCTAAGGCTGCAACCATCTCAAGTCGGGACCTCAGACTCAGAAATCAATGATTTGTTTGGAGGTCTGGTTTTTTTTTTTCATTTTGATCAGTCCTGCGAATGACGGACACTTTTCCCCTTGACTATGTGTGGCCGTCTTCTTACACAGGTTCAACTGAGAACAGTCAAAACTGTCTATCTAAGCTAAGAGGGGCATCCATTGTTGAGGAGAAAAGTGTCCTTCTAGTTCTAGCGCGATGTCATTATTGTGTAAAAATACACTAGAGAGGAAATAGGAAGTAGCCATTTGTACAGGTGATTGTCTTATAATATACAGGTGGTCGTTAAAGCAAGTTCGACTGTACATGTATATATATCTATGACGGACATTTGTCTAACATTTTTATGTTTAGTTTGATAAGTCGTGTTTTTTGCTCTTGCCTCAAGACAATATAGCCAGATCTGGCAGCCTAGGGGCATTGTGAGCTGAGGCAAAATATTGTTAATGTAAAAAAAAAAAAAACCCAACATTAGGATTCTAAATAAAGCTGCCATGAAACATACACTGACTACATTTGTTTTCTTTCTGTTATTCCTTTCTGTTGTTTTGCACTTTTGAATGTGATTGTGCGGCAGTTTATGGGTGAACAAGATTGCTATTTGAAAATAATAAAGTTTGTACATGTACAGTGTAGTGTAAGTGGGAGGGGGGATCAGCTATTGTACAGACAAGGATAGATGATAAGATGCAGTGGGGTCCATTGAAGCTGAACACGCTTAATCCGAAGTTGTGCTTATTATTACGAGTCCAGAGTTCTCACCACACTGTCACACATGCATTTGAAAAGAGATCATGCTGGATTCTTCATGAGCTAGTTATGCACAGTCATTGGCAAATCTGTCTCCAGGATTTTATGCACCCCTTGTTCGTGTAATTTAGCAAAATTTGATCATTTTTTGCATAATTTCTGATTATTTTCCTTTATCATTCTGTGTTAAAATTAACAAAATCGCATAATTTCACTTTTTTGGGCTAAATTTGCATAATTTCACTTTTTTTTGTGTGTGCATAAAACCGCGGGGACAGGCAAATAGCAGTTCACAGACATGCAAGCAGGGCGACAAAAAGTGACAATGTCATCACTTACAGTTAAAGTTAAAGGTAGCCTCCCTGATATTTCGGCATACTAGATGATTGTGATGCAGTACCTTTAAAATTTTAAAGCAAAAATCAGGCCGTGCGGTGAACTATTGAGAATAAAACCAACTTGTTTCGCGCGCTCATATGACCTTATGCAGTTGTGAGCGCCATAAAACCCTTCCTGTTTGTGGTTGGCTGGGTGCTCTGGTGTGGTTTGCTTCTTCTTTCCTATCAAACATCTATCGTCCTTGTCTCCTCTTCCTTCGTTTTTATGTTTGTTTGTTACTCTCTTGTAACACCTCTTATCTTCTGGCGCTCATATGACCTTATGCAGTTGCGAGCGCCGTAAAACCTCTCCTAAAACTAAAGTCAAACCCTTACTAAACAAAACAACATTTTAATGTCAGTGTCAGGGACTCGGATGACAACCGACTTGCTTCCAAATCTTGGTCACTCGATGCGATGAGGTAGAATGAGGGTTGTGTCCTGCCCCTCAGTCCAACCTGGGTGATTGTTCTAGTGTAAGCACCAAACAGAAATAAACTAACATCAAGATTAATCCTGTTCCTGATTTTTGTTTGTCTTTGTTTTTTTGTTTTTTATAGGAGTGGGAGCATAACATTGGCATTTAATATACTACATGTACTATGTTGCATTGTGTATCATTGCCAACTATAAATATAAAGTTAAAATGGCACAAGCCAAAAATTTTCCAAAACTTGAAAAAAATGTATTGTAGTCTGATTGTGGGTGGTTGGCGGGTGCTCTGGTGTTGTTTGCTTCTTCTTTCCTATCAAACATATATTTTCTTTATATCTCCCCTCCTTCTTTTTGTGTTTGTTACTCTCTTGTAACACCTCTAATCTTCGGCACTTATATGACCTTATTGTGTTGCAAGTGCCGTACAACACATACTAAGTGGGTGGTTGGCGGGTGCTCTGGAGTGGTTTGCTTCTTCTTTCCTATCGAACATCTATCGTCCTTATCTCCCCTCCTCCTTTTTTATGTTTGTTACTCTCTTGTAACACTAACACCTCTAATCTTCTGGCGCTCATATGACCTTATGCAGTTGCGAGCGCCGTAAAACCTCTATTAAAACTAAACACGTATTAAAACAAGCAGTCTTACTCTATGGTATCGGTTGCATGTGCTCGACTTAATATTTTGTCGAAATTCACATCGCAAAAGTTGGAAAAGGCAAGAAAAAAATATAAGCGTTTACCCAAAGGCCCTCAAATCACAGGGGTTCATCAAACATACGCAGCCATGCTGTCCTGGATGAGCACGCTCTTTAACCATTCACCACTAACTACCCGCACGGTTACGTGGTACGACCAAAGATTCTCCACTGGTAGTCGTTAAACTTTTAGATTTAGTAATAATCTTTCTGTTTTTGTGCATGCCTAGTTTTAGCATCCTACATATTATTGTGTTTCAATACAGGTGCTAGCATTTTATAGGCTTCTTTGCCCGAATAAACTCCAAACACAGCCGAATATGCTCTCAAAAGCTGAAATCATACTTACTTCTTTGTCCACCTACTATTTGAGTAACGATTGCGGACGGTCGTTACATTTTAGTTTCGGTTATGATGTATCACTTTTTGTGCATGCCTGGTTGTAGCACACGACACATTATTGTGTTTTACTACAGGTGCTAGATCTAGTATTTTATAGGCTCCCTTGCTAGATTTGAATTCTAAACACAGCCGAATATGCTCTCAAAAGCTGGAATCATCTTTACTTCTTTGTCCTCCTACTATTTGAGTAACTTATGCGGTCGGTCGTTACACTTTTAAATTTAGTACAAATCTATCAGGTTTTTTTGTGCATGCCTAGTTTTAGCATCCAATACATTACTGTGTTTCAATCCAGGTGTTAGCATTTATAAGCTTCTGTGCCCTAATAAACTCGAAACAAAGCAGAATGTGGTCTTAAAAGCTGAAACCATCTGTACTTCTCTATCCCCATTCTTTTCTGAGAAACTAGTGCGGTCGGTCGTTACAATTTTAGTATTGGTTATGATTTATCATTTTTTTGTGCATGCCATTTTTTGGGGGGTTATAGCTACCAACACATTATTGTGTTTTACTACATGTGCTGGCATTTTATAGGCTTTTGCTCTCAACTGAACTAAAAAAACCAAAGAAGAATGTTCTCTTAGAAGCTGAAATCATCTTTACTTCTCCGTCCTCATACTTCTTTGAGAAACTAGTGAGGTCTGTCGTTACACTTTCAGTATTTGTTATTATCTGTTAGTTTTTGTGCTTACTTAGTTGTGGCATCCAACACATTATTGTGTTTCACTACAAGTGCTAGCACTTTCTCGGCTTCTTTGAACAAATAATCTCCAAACACAGCCGAATGTGCTCTCAAAAGCTGAAATCATACTTACATCTTTGTCCTCCTACTAACTACATAATGTATTGCGGTCGGTCGTTACACTTTCAAATTTGGTGATAATCTATCAATTTTTGTTCATGCCTTGTTGTAGCACGCAACATATTTTTGTGTTTCTCCACAGGTGCTAGTACTGCTAGCATTTTATAGGATTCCTTGCCCGAATAAACACCAACAAAGCCAAATGTGCTCTCAAAAGCTGAAATCATACTTACTTCTTTGTCCTCCTACTATTTGAGTAACTTTTGCAGACGGTCGTTACATTTTAGTGTCGGTTATAGTCTATTAGATTTTGTGCATGCCTAGTTGTAGCACCCGACACATTATTGTGTTTTCCTACAGCTGCTAGTATTTTGTATGCCCCCTTCTAAGATTTCAACTCTAAACACAGCCAAATATGCTCTCAAAAGCTGGAATCATCTTTACTCCTTTGTCCTCCTACTATTTGAGTAACTTATGCGGTCGGTCGTTACACTTTTAGATTTAGTACAAATCTGTGTTTTTGTGCAATGCCTAGTTTTAACATCCAATACATTACTGTGTTTCATTCCAGGTGTTAGCATTTATAAACTTCTTTGCCCTAATAAACTCCAAACAAAGCAGAATTTGCTCTTAAAAGCTGAAATCAACTTTACTTCTCTGTAATCATACTTTTTTTGAGAAACTAGTGAGGTCTGTCGTTACACTTTCAGTATTTGTTATTATCTACTAGTTTTTGTGCTAACTTAGTTGTAGCATCCAACATATTATTGTGTTTCACTACAAGTGCTAGCACTTTCTCGGCTTCTTTGAACAAATAATCTCTAAACAAATCCGAATGTGCTCTCAAAAGCTGAAATCATACTTACATCTTTGTCCTCTTACTAACTGTTGCGGTCGGTCGTTACACTTTCAGATTTGGTAATAATCTATCAACTATCAGTTTTTGTTCATGCCTAGTTGTAGCATGCAACACATTACAGTGCTTCTCCACAGGTGCTAGCTTTTTATAGGATTCCTTGCCCGAATAAACACCAAACAAAGCCAAATTTGCTCTCAAAAGCTGAAATCATACTTACATCTTTGTCCTCCTACTAACTGTTGCGGTCGGTCGTTACATTTTCAAATTTGGTGATAATTTATCAATTTTTGTTCATGCCTTGTTGTAGCATGTAACACATTATAGTGTTTTACTACAGGTGCTAGTATTTTATAGGCTCCCTTGCAAGATTTAAACTTGAACACAGCCGAATATGCTCTCAAAAGCTGGAATGATCTTTACTTTTTTGTCCTCCAACTATTTGAGTAACTTATGCGGTCGGTTGTTACAGTTTTAGATTTTGTAATAACCTATTAGTTTTTGTGCATGCCTAGTTTTAGCACCCAACGCATTATTGTGTTTCAATCCAGGTGTTAGCATACAATTTATAAGCTTCTTTACCCTAATAATAAACTCCAAACAAAGCAGAATATGCTCTTTAAAGCTGAACTCGTGTATACTTCTCTGTCCCCATTCTTTTTATAGAAACAAGTGTGGTCGGTCGTTTCACTTTCAGTATTTGGTAATAATCTATCTACTTTTGTTCATGCCTAGTTGTAGCACCCCACACATTAATATTGTGTTTTACTACATGTGCTAGCATTTTATAGGCCTTTTCTCTCGAATAAACCCCAAACAAAGAAAAATGTGTTCTTTGAAGCTGAAATCATCTTTACGTCTCCGTCCTCACCCTGTACAACCAACTGCTAAAAACGTATAAGAAAAACCCATATATAAAAATTAAAACTTTTCTTTCCCATGTCTACCTCAGTGTACACCCCGAGAAATCAGGAAAATTACAAAAATACTCCAAGCCCTATAGCTATACTGAACTCTATACTATCATTTTTCAGTTTTTAGAAAGAGTTTTGCGGCACTTGCAACACACTAAGGTCATATAAGGGCCGAAGATTAGAGGTGTTACAAGAGAGTAACAAACATAAAAAAGAAGGAACAGATATAAGGACGATAGATGTTTGCTAGGAAAGAAGAAGCAAACCACACCAGAGCACCCGCGAACCACCCACTCAGGAAGGAGACATTCAAGGTGCTGTCGTTAGTTTAGTTTTAGTAAAAGTTTTACGGCACTTGCAACACAATAAAGTCATATAAGTGCCGAAGAATAGATGTGTTGCAAGAGAGTAACATACACAAAAAAGGAGGGGAGATGAGGACGATAGATGTTTGATAAGACAGAAGGAGCAAACCACACCAGAGCGCCCGCCAACCACCTACGTACTGTCGTTAGGATGTGCAACTGGCAACTGGATTTCATATCAAGTTGCCATGATATATTCCTCAATCTTGCAGATCCTCAAAGGTTGAGAAAGAAACCTCACACATGAAGTATTTGAGTAAAATTCAAATACATGTATGAGGCTTTATTCATAATAAAAAATCAATGTAAAGGAATTCGAAAGAAGAAACTGACTTTTTAAAATGCACACTCACAATGACCCTTGTAAGTAGTATACTGACGCTGAACGATTTCAGACAAATTTCAGATTACACATATATTTTATTCATTCACAATACAGCTTATTCAATGAACACGCCATACTGCCTTCATTAATATTAATAAATATGTATACATTTTGAACTCTTTCACACATCATCCTCTTTGATTGACAAAGCCGGGGGACTCCATTAAAGTTTTGGGCTCAGCACACCAGAACAGCCGGCGAGTGAAAGAAAACTTTTTTAAAAAGAGAACTAGTCATGAAGGATAAAACACGTCATGTTTCCACCAGTTATTCATATTGTCATAACAAGAAAGGAAAGACGTGTTCTAATCAAAGAGCAGCCGTCACCCAAATATAAAATGAATGGAATTTATTATAATTCATATATTAACCCTATACGTACGCCCTGGGGTTATTTTGTACTCACGGGGTTGTATTCTTCACATTTCAGAATATTTCTTATTCAAAGATCTCTTTGAAACTTTCAGTATTTAAAAAAAAAATCATTTTGACAGGCTGCTATGCAAAGCGCAGGGATCGGATTAACAAGTAAATTTCCTCTTTCGAAAGTGGCGTCACAGAGTTCCCCATGTCGTAGTGATACGATAGTAAAACACAACGTACGGATAGGGTTAAGAAAAACATTACTTTTTGTATTTTTAAACCACATGTTAAGAAATGTTTTTAAATTTTAAAAAGAACAAATAGTAACATGCATTATAATATTCTGCTGAATGAAATAAACCCAAGTTCCAAAAAGTGTGATAAAACAACCACAAAAAAACCCTGAAGAAAAAAACAGTACACTAATACTTCGAGCATCACTTTCACTTTATAACATATATTGTATGATCAAACTAGTGGACACTTACCACTAGCACCTGACGACATGCACAAAACATTCACCCTGTCCAAAAACGCACATTTCCCATCTTCTCCTTACTTTCCACTTGCATGTATCATCATTTCAAACACATAAAAACACAACAGCTTTCATTCACATATATAAACCAGATCATTCAGAAACTGAAGTGCAATATCATTCCCTTGAAAGAACAGAATACAACACCTATTGATTTAGAAGAAAATGTGGAAAAATTCAAACTCAACATACTTTGACTTAAATATTGCTCATTTGACTACTCACTCATATATTTTTCATGCATCCCATTAGTTGGTTTGAGAATTGACACTTTTAGTACCGTCTGCGACTTTATTGAAAATCCAAAGCACAAGCCAAAGTGTGTAAAAATGTGCTCTTATTTCTGCAAAGGATGTATGTAACATTCCTTCGTGTATTGTTCCAGGCTTTCGATTATACCCACAAAGTCCAGGACTATGCTCCTGCCCGAAAGGCTTTGGGGGCCCAAGTGAAAGTAGCAATAACAACCTTAAAATTGACGATATACCCGCCAAAACTGTAAAGATTCATGTGTCGCCTGTGGCAACAAGGTTAGTGGACTTCACTACTCTTTATTACCCACATTATTGGTCTTACTGAAAAGCAAAGACCCTGTAAAAATAGCAGTGTCGAAAATAAAATCAGCAAAATAGTAATTACATTGCACGATCCTTTATTTCATTCTATGAGCTACAATTCAGACATACGTGCAAACAAACTGACAAATTTACATATAAATTGCATGTTTGTACAAAATTCTGTCAATTTCCTATCATTTCATACCACCTAATCTCAAATAACCCATAGCATTCGTGTATTCAGCCACAAACTCTTTAATATTTAAAATAGCCACCAGGCCAAATGATGTCTTTATGTCACAGAATAGTTTTTTGTAAACTAATTTCATTTCTTAGTATATTATATCTTGAAAATTCAATCTTACTCTGTCGATAACTTTTGTTTCAATTTACTTTTCTGCAATCTAACCTGATTGTTTTGGTGGCTTCTAAAATGGTGAGGTACTTAAGGGTTTTTCACTCGATAAGCCTGTGGTACTGTAAGTATTAAGGCCTCAAATTTCCACCAGCTAACTATTTTAGCTAATCATCCAGAACAATATAAAAAGAAAAGATCTAAAAGAGAGAACACGTCTGTCTCGTTATAATAAACTCACAAAACAGACACGAGTTTTTTTTTTCTCCATTTTTTTTGCAGGTTTACATTTATATAACACCCACATCCAAGGAAATACAAAACAATGTAAAGGGACCAAATGCACCGTCTACTCAATCAGTCACAGCATTCATACAGAACTAACATTTTCGAGCAGACTCCATAATAGGTAAGTTGAATACAGCGATAATCGAACTATTTTCTTCCTTTCTTTTTCTGCCCGCCTTTAGATGACTGCTGCTGTTGTTGCTGCTGCTGCTGCTGCTGTGATGAGCTGCTGGCCTGCGACTGCTGGCGAGTCTTCAACTTGGGGATGGTGTCTGCCAGGTACAACAACAACGTCGTGCCTACAGAGAAAAAAAACAAAAAAAACAACAAAAGGAATTACTGCAGATGACAAAATGATAAAACCCTGAAAACATTCAAATATCCCACCCAGCCAGGCCACCAAACTTGCTAGAGACAGGAAGCTCTTTCTCCCCTCGACGCCCTAGAGGTACAAGAGGACGGAAAAAGTAAAGTAAAGTAAGTAATGATAAAATGTCTGTTACAAATGTCACCATGCCAACCAGCCTCGAGAGCCTATAAACACCAAGCACTCAGGCTATATAAAGGAACAGGAAGGCCACGCAAAAGGGGGATTAAAAGAGCTGCAGAGGTGGCCACAGAAAACAGCACCTCCCCTCAACACTCAATGGCAACAAAGGAAGAAAAAGTGAGAAACCCCCCCCCCCCCAAAAGTTTTTTTAGTTCAAGGAAGAGTTTTATAGCACCTGCACCACAATTAGGTCACATAATTGCTGAAGATCAAAGGTGTTACTAAACAGTAACAAATAAAAGAAGGAGCAGAGATAAGGACAATTGATGTTTGATATAAAAGAAGGCACAAAAACCACACTAAAGAATCCGCCAACCACCCAGGAAAATAATCAAGCTCTTACGATCAGGAAACTGTGAAAGAGCCGGGGTGCCATCCTCATTCTTGAGCTGCACTCTCACACGACCTCGGAACTTGACATCTCGTGGGTCCTTCTCACGGGGGTACACTTTATTCTGAGGTCAAAGAAGGGTCAATGCCAGTAAACTAATTACTTATACAGCATTACTCTGAAAGATATACAGTACAGTGTTTTTTAGTTTTAGTAAGAGTTTTACGGCACTTGCAACACAATAAGGTCATATAAGTGCCGAAGAGTAGAGGAGCTACAAGAGAGTAACAAACACAAAAAAGAAGGAGGGGAGATAAAAACGATAGATGTTTTGGGGTTTTTTCAGTAGAGGTTTTACGGCACTCGCAACTGCATAAGGTCATATGAGCGCCAGAAGATTAGAGGTGTTACAAGAGAGTAACAAACATAAAAAAGAAGAAGGGGAGATAAGGACGATAGATGTTTGGTAGGAAAGAAGAAGCAAACCACACCAGAGCACCCGCCAACCACCCACGATAGATGTTCAATAGGAAAGAAGAAGCAAACCACACCAAAGCACCCGGTGATCAGACAGACGAAACGAAATATCGCATCCGGAACTTGCATATCGCGATACCAGTTTTTAAAAGTCCACTACGCTTGGCCAGACTCGATCGTTACCGGCCAAATTTTTTTCGGCGATTAATTTTATTTTTCCGGGGGAATTTTTTCCCCCTTTCTAAACACCCGATGCAACCCGGAAAGTGATGCTGTGAAATTTTGTCAGCCCGGAGGTCTGGTACCCATGAACCACCCACAGTACAGTATTTGATAAGATAATATTAACAAGACAAATAATAACAATATTTTCATTAGATGTTTCAGTTCTGTGTCCTTAATAAAAGGCTTAACGCCCCTTGCAACACAGTAAGGTTATTTAAGAGACGGGACTCAAATTTCAAATGGGAAAATTCATGTAAAGTGCCTTTCCAAAGACACAACCTCAGACCAAGCCGAGGCTCAAACCCCTGATCCCGCGTTCTCATAACTACAGGTCCGGTAGCCTTACCACTAAAAAGAAATCTAGGAACACAATTAAAGTAACACTGAAAAGGAGAGAAACAGACAAACCATACCAAAATGCCCATGAGTCACTTGTATACACATGTGTATATGATCCGTTGAAGCAAGTTGAAAGACTATTCATATTCAATGGAGTCCTTTTAATCTAAATATGGTTAATCCAAAAACAGCCGTAAACCTAAAGAAAATTCAATCCCCAATTTTTTCTTTGAAATTTGAGCAGTCTCTCTAAACCGAAAAAGTGGCTAAACCATAAAAAAAAATCTAGCAGTGCTACACATTTCAGTTTAAGTGGACTCCACTGCAAATTACTGTGTAAAAAACGGACTACGGAAATGGACAACCGAGAAGCTAAAGAAGACATGCTCGTATCACTTTATTTGACCCAATGGCAAAGACCATGGACCAATCAGAATATCAAGTGAGATAACTTACCTCTACGCCAAGAGTGAGCCCAGCAGCTGCACACACATCTCGGATCTCAGCACACACAGGGTTATCGATAGCCTGGAAAATAATAAGACACGTTACCAACTGCTGGCAGAAAACAAACTAAATATATAGATGTGGCTATCAACAGCAAGGTCAAAACAAAAACCAAATAGGACTTGACTATTACGATTACCCATCAGGACAAAAGCAAAGCACATAGGTCTATATCTTGTTCTTGTTCTTGTTTCAGGAAGCAACATCCCTGCACTCCGGAAATGTCCATTGATGCTCCGTTGCTCTCTCCAAAATGTTGCCGAGGGTCCTTCTACTGATTGTGCCAGTGCACATCTGGTTGAACGTTCTTCTGTTCTTTCCTGCAAGGATGCCAGATTTTCCGCTTCCTTTTTTTATTCCCAAAAGCATCATCCTCTCCACGGCAGTACTGACTAATGGGATGAATGGCTACAGGACTCAGTAGTCGCTAACGTGGGCGTCTGGTAAGCGAGAGGGACGGCGCCAGGCGTATGGACTCTGTAAAGACATCCCCTGTCCCTTCCCTGGTATAGGGCTCTGCCAGGGTGACAGACAATTTTCTTCCCTACCTTAGAAAAACCAAACATGAGGTCTATATGACTTGGCTATCAAAGAAAGGCCTGAACATACAAAACATATGACTTGGCTATCAACTGCAGGGACAAAGTAAACCATAAACCAAACATGATGAGGGTACCAAATGTCAGAATAGAACAAAGCAATTGTGTGACTTAGTCACGAAAAGCGTGCATTACATTACAAACAATTTTTTTAAAACCCTTCGTTACAAAATTTGACTTTCAAAGAAACTGAATATGATTGGTTATCAAAAAATGCCTGAACAAAATTAAAACAAATTATATTGGCTTTATTATTAACTGGTTGAATAACCCCCCCCCCCCCCCCCCCCCCCCCCAAAAAAAAAAAAAAAAAATTATTCCTGATGATTTCATTAACAATGCCCAGGAGAAAATAAAAATAAGATTAAGAGAATGTAGAGATATACATGTCCATGCAAAACAAATGAAAATGACATTAATAACAAATGCCAGAACAACATGGCAAACATGATGAGGTCACAATAGTAATAGTATCAGCTTGACAAGTTTTTAAAAAACCCAAATATGTTTGTTTTCAACTGTCTCCATAAAACAGAACAAACATGATGTGAAAAGAAAGGCTGAATAAAATTAATAATAATAGTCCCCCCCTCTAAAAAAACAAAACCTGATAAAAAGTTGCCCAATGGACAGAAAAATGTCGGTTACTTCGATTTCCTTATTTTGACGAGCAGTTGATATCACTACGATGCCCCCACATAATATATGAAAAAAAACCATCTTCGTAAATACCTTTGCTTTTGGAACTTTGCGACCTTCTTTGAGAGTTTTTCTACTGTTGAGATAGGCTGGGTAGACACAAATCCATCTGAAAGACAGACAAGATTAAAAGATTTAGTTATCAATAAGAACATTGTCACACAAAACAAACCTTTAAGAGTTAAGATTTTCTTATAAAAGGTTTTTAACTCGTTTTCTTCAAACGACGGCCCAGAATTCTCCTCGGTCCTAATTTAGAAATCCTCTTCAGCCTGGTTTCTTTTCTTGAGGAACAAGTGCTCTGCCTCTGAGATGATTTGGTCTCTCTCTGTCTCTTGCATGCCTTAAAACAGTAATTTTTTACTTTCACTTCCACACACAGATGCGCTGATTTGGGGGTCAAACAGCAGATCATCACCTGTAACCCCCCTATTGATTGGTCTAAAACCTGGAAATAACTAGGCAATTAGGCTTGGTGTGATAAAGTTCGATTAACTCTTTACCTCCGATGGGGGTAAACCCACTATGACGGTTTCCTTTTTGACACTAAATCTAAAAATTACAAAAAACGTCCCCCTAAATTGGTAATAAAATCAAAACAATTGAACCTATTATGACAGTTCTTCATCTAATGAATGAAATCCCAATAAAAGAGACCTGTTTTCGGCAATTGCCAGATTTTGAAAGGAATTTTAAGTCGACGTCACCGTAAAGGAATGTAGCCTACCCGAGCTGCTGTCAGCAGCTCATCGGCACAGCGGTTCCAACTGTGAGTCGCTGGGAGCGGCTTGCCGGAGAAAGAGTTTAAAAACATAAAATGTTCTGAGCATCAACGATCTAGATCTAGGAAATCTGAAATGTTACCGAAAACACGTCGTTCCATATGGGTATCCCAGGAAGTGATGACATCACAGTACTAAAATTAGCAACTAATCAGAAAGATGTCTTTTCTACGTTTAACGGCATGTCCCCCCCCCCCCCCCCTCCTCTCTCTCTCTCACACACACACTCTACCGGGTCGGGCCGCTGAAACTTTCCGAAATTACAAAAGATTTCCCCAATATCGGGTCTGTATCCTAGGCCTACTTCGTAAACAAACGGGACGGCAATTTCAAAAGGCCCCTCAAATCTAGAATCTAGATTCTAGATCTAATCTAGAATCCAGAAATTGTAATGAACACGAAAAGAGAATGAGCCTCTGTCTGCCTCTATATTATGAGGATGAGGAGACAGGTCAGTTACCAATAATAACTAAAACTTGTTACACACGGAAACAAACAAACCTCTCTCTGTCTATATGTTTAAATTTAGAATCTGGATTCCAAGGCCTTGGTTGGCTAGGGACATTTGCGCTGGAGGGTGCTGCAGTTGCCATACTTTGATGTCAAAGCTTCAATCTGTGAGGCAAAACACAATATTGTAGCACAGCCGTGTGGTACATTCACTCACAGTCACCACAGCTCAACCTGTCTAAAAGGTACGTAACTCTGGTTTCTTTTCTTCACTAGTTAAGTCATCACTTCCGTCATTCAAAGACCGGCAACTCTTCCATGATTTTTCTTAGCCAAGGGCCGAACGGATTATTTTTCCGAGCCGTTAGCTTGCAGAACGGACGGAGCCACCGCCCTACACTTCACACTTAAAACACTCCACACTCCACAGCTGTGACACTGGCAGGCAGCCATTTTTCTTTACTTGAGTGTAGTAAATTCCACGTCTTTAGCCTCTGAGCAGCACGGCCATCTTAGGTGAGATTGTTATACGTCCGTCAACGTGCCTCAAACTCAAGTGAAACCAAAATTTTGTCCAATGCATGTTACTACTTTTCAGCCATCATGGCATAGTATAGACAGTCTGACCAGAAGTTCTCTACCAAGTCCCAAGTCGAGCCTGCCCATGAATGAATGATAAACCCGGGACACCCTCTCTCCTAAAATTAAAGTCAAAACACAATAAAACACTGGACAGTGTTGGTTTAAATATCTTAACAGTACACCATCTTTAAATGCTCACATCAATGCAAAAATAGGGAGGACTTCCATAACAAGCGGCCACTATGAGACTAGAATAGAAGGCTGGGGGCGTGGGTTGGGGTGGTCGCTCAGAAATAGTTTCTTGTAACGGTTGGATGTCTTTATATAGACTAAGATTAGACTATATTCTAGATCTATATGAATAAACTTAGACTTAAGCTAGACCTAGATCTAGTGCATCCTTTGGAAAACTCAGAGCTAGGAAGGGTTGGGACTGCTCTGACTCTGTGTCTGTGGCACACTCATGTAAAGAAAAGTATAAAGTGTGATCCTCCCAACCCTATCGGATAGGGTTGGGAGGACCACAGCATGCTATCGTATGGTGCCAAGATGTGGATGGTGCATCTAACGGTAAGATTGTACTTTACCGGACCACGGGTTGCTGCTCAGGAGGATGCTGAAGAGGCTGTGGCTAAGATGGATGGAGAGTAAGTAGGTCTTCTTCTACGTGGTTTTTCAAACTTTCTTGTCAGGTCAAACACAGAGCTGCCCCCCGGGGTAGTGCCACTGACTGTAGTGTCTTCAGGCCATTCCCAAAGGGGGGGGGGGACATTTCTCGTTCAAGCACAGTAGAATTGCAAATGGGCTGACTCATGTCACGCTCATAACTGTGCCTGATCTACAACAGGGAACTGCTGTTTTTTCTTTCCTGATCCTTACTTTTGTCATTTTCCTCTACTTCTTTTGTATGTTTGTCACTCTCTTGTGTCCTGCTATTTCCGGGGTGCCTTGATAGTCGAAGCAGACCTTGTGCTGTTGAAGCTGGATAGGTGAGCAGTCTAAGTCTGATTCCTTGTAAAGACTTCTCTGTTGACACCCACCCCTTGGTGCTCATATGACCTTATGCAGTTGCGAGCGCTGTAAAACCTTCTACTATTAAAAAAAAAACACCAAAAAACTTTCTTGTCAGGTCAAACGCAGAGCCTTTGTTAAATTGTAGGCGCTGTGAGCTGTTGACCAGTGGCCTTGTATTTTGAGTGAATCTGTGTGTACCCCTTTGCTTTCTGTACTGTCATCATCATCCTCCTCTCTCACCCAACACCCAACATAAATGTCCTTGGGAATTATGTCTGAGGGTGCATTCAGATTGCTTACTAATGTAAGTGAAAATCTCTGTATTTACTTCATTTTTAATTATACCACATGTTGGCATTGAATTAAGATGTGAAGACAAATGTATGTATGTAATTGTGGTTATTTTTATTTCAAATCTAATTCTTTGTTGGTCAAATGATCGTCTCTCTAACTAGGTCCTTGAACGGGAAAAGAATCCGAGTCTCCGTAGCAAAACCGAGGATGAAAGGCTTTGGGGCCCCTCCAAGTGCCGGGAGAAGTCGCCGATGTTACTTTTGCCTGGAGACTGGGCATTTGGCGCGGGATTGTTACCGGGGGAGTCGGCAAGTCAGGTGAGAGGGAGAGACAAAATGTCAGTTAGCAGCGTTTGCTTACTGGGACGGGTGTATTATAAATGCTTTCCTTCTCTGCCCCACTTCCCTTCCTTTTTCGTTTTAAGTAATCTTTGCAAGAAAAAAAGATTTTTGTTACCGATACTCAATTTTGAAATCGTTTTCATGAACATATCTATGTTTGTGAGGTTTTTAAAAATATTTTTTTTAAATTGCACTATTTGATTTGTTTTCATGAGTAAGGTGAGAGCCTCAACTAATATACATGTGGTAGAGGCCTTGGCTGTTAAAGAGGTTAAGATATTATCAAGGGCTTGAGCCCACAAAGGGTAATGGCTGCCCTTCAGTTTACTAAACTTCTTGTTTTAATAGCTGCTTACTTCTTGTTTTATGCCCTAATACAACTCCTTGTTCTTCAGATATTGTAACCATTTCTGTATAACACAATTCAAATGTTTGATTCCCCTTTTTTAATGGTTATAACATTTGGTAAATATAGTTTTAAAAAATAATACTCAGGTTTAAAAAAAACTATTATCATAGTAAATTATTTGTTTGGCAATTGTTTTTCTGGAAGGCAGAATAAAATTTACCATTAGCTTTTGCTGTAATAAAATTAATGTACTGCAGGTAAGGTCGATTTTGATATATATATTGTTATAGATAATGCTGGATAAAGTTTATTATTCCACCGTGGAAGGAAGTGAACTGAAATCCTAATGAGCACTCAAATCAATGAGTTATAGTTTCAGCTGAAGCAGGTTCTGTAATAATAATAAATAGTATCGTGGCACCTACCGTTAGGAAGTTGGTATTGAGTTACACAAAACACACAAGTTTATGGCACATTATTTTTAGCAATTTTTTGTTTGTTTTTTGGTTCCTTCTTGTCTCCCAGAGCAGGCTGTGTTGTTGATGGTGTTGTGGTATGGGCTTCACCGAGTGAAGGGTGAAGGGCATTGTGTTGATGGTATCACTGATGATGTGATGATGATGAGGAAGGGGATTGGCACGCCATGTTGCGATGGATGATGGTGAACCCTCTCTGTGTGTGTGTGTGCGCCAGTTGGGCCTGACCATTGTGGGGCTAGTGTTGTGCCTTGTGTCTGCGGAGGAGAGGGAGTTCCGTGGCGACTGTTCCTCGTCCAAGGCGGCGGACTCCCGTCTGCTGCTGCTGCTTCCTTTGTAGTAGCGGCGGCGGTGGCCGGCGTTCTCTCGGGGGGTTGGTGTGTGTGCCAGCTTACCGCGTGACACAGTGGACTCTCCCCCATCCCAACCCCCCTCCCCCCACCTTCCCACATTCCTTCTTTCCCTCCCTACCTTCCGGGCCTACGTTGGTGTGTGAGGGTTTGTGGCGTGTGGCAGGACGCGACAGCGGAGGACTGACGGGGCAGTCTTGTGTTTTGTGTGATGTTATGTGTGGGCCAGCGGGCACCTGCTGAGGATGCGTAGAGTACCCCAGGGTATGCAGGCATGGCACAGGTTCAAGTTTGTCTTTGTTCTACAGCTTATTTAATGTATTCATGTCAGTTTGTTCTACAGATTAATATATTATATATATATTCAAGTTTACTTACAATTGTCCTTTTTTTCCCCCTTCTTTTTTTTTCTTATTTATTTGAAGAACCTTTTGGATCTTCTACTTTTTCTTACACCTTCAAGTTAAATGTTTATGTGTGTGACTCTGAGAGAACCCTTCGGAAAGTACTGAACATTATTTTGAGATATGTGTGAGAACAGACCTGACGTTTCAGTTATATAAAAAGTTAGGGACTTTTCTCAAATACTACTGTCATTTTTTAAACAAAATTCTGGTCAGACCTCCTTTAACCCCAGGGGCGGTGCTAGTGTCTTTAGGCCATTCCCGGGGGGGAGGGGGGCATTAACATGTTCTTATGTACAGTAGAATTGTAAATGGGCTGATTCATCAATGTAATGCCCTTAACTGTGCCTGAACTGCAACTGGGAACTGCTGCTTTTTTTCCCTAATCCTCACTATCATCATCTCTCCTTTTCTTTTTTTGTATGTCTGTCACACTCTTGTGACCCGCTATTTCCGGGGTGCCTTTATAGTCGAAGCAGACTTTGGGCTATTCAAGCTAGAGAGGTGAACAGCTGCGTGTGTGTTGTTACACATTTCTTGTCAAAAGTATCCTTCGGGCCTTTGTGTCCTTCAGTGTGCTGTAGTTTTTTACAGAATGCTCAATAATAGCACCCAAGTTAAGTGCAAAATCCTCATGAGAGATTAATCTTTTATAAAATGCTGGAAAATCTGTCATGAAAATGTTCACCTTACGACAGGTTTTCTCGATGTCAAAAACATATAATCATATCTGTAATGAACCAATTTCTATTTCATAAATTTTGACATTTATAATTATCAGACCTGCCAAGTACTATGATAAAATTGGAGCTAGCTGATCTCCCCCCCCCCCCTCTTTTTCGTTTATTTCCAATAGTTATGAGATTTATCTTAAATAATGTGAAAAGACGTTTTTATTGTTATACATTTTACATGTATTATTGCAATGCAAGTTTATTTGTCATTGGTTCATTGTCTATTCTAAATCTTTTGGAGACTGATTTAAAAGAAAAAATTTACAAACTCCTATTGTGCTGGAGGATTTTTGGAAAAACTCCTATTTTCGGTAATGGAATGGTTGGCAGGTCTGAATTATGATACTTTTTCTTTTGGGGTCAAAGAGACATAAAAATAGTTGAGCATATTTGCTTTTTTTTTGGTGGTTTTTCTCAAAGACTGACGTAAACAAGAAAAGTGGAAAGACATATTTTATAACTGTATTCCTGTTCAACTATGATGGAGTCCATTTATAATAATCTTTTATGGGTACCAAACTTTCTTTTGTCTTTGCTGGTATGATACCACATTAATTATTTTTTTACTGATAGAGGGAGGAGAGATGAATTTTTTTTTCACTTTCTAAGATTTAAGAAAATATGTCGCTAGCAAGTTTTATAACTGGGCTCCTCCATACCTTTGACTTTGTCTGTTCTATTTGTGTGCGTGTGTGTTTGTATAGATCTTTGTTCCTTTAGGTGTCTCTGTTTTGGATCTGCCCTCAAAACGACAAAGGATGTCTTGTTTTATACCGTTGTATTGTTCTATTTTTGTCTCCCACCAGGTCCCGTTCCAGGTCGAGGGACAGGTACAGGTCAAGGTCACGAAGTGGGAGTCGGAGGCGTCAGCGAAGCCGGAGCCGAGACGGGCGGAGGAACCATCGGAGCCGCAGCAGGGAGAGGAGCCGCGAGAGAGACCGCAGCCGTGAGCGGGGCAGGAGGAGCAGAGACATGGAGAGGGAGAGGAGCAGGGATAAAGACAGGAGGAGCAGGGATAGAGAGAGGGAGAGGAGGAGTCGAGAGAGGGACCGTAGCAAGGAGAAGGAGCGCGATCGAAGCAGGGATAGGGATAATGCGAAGGGCAGGGACAGGGATAGGAGCAGCAGAGACAAAGACACAAGTAGTAGGGATAGAGAGAAAAGGTCAAGTGGAGGAGGTCGGGATAGAGAGAGGAGCAGCAGAGAGGAGAAGGAGAGAAGCAGCAGAGAGGAAGAGAAGGAGAGAAGCAGCAGGGAGAGAGAGAAGGAGAGAAATAGCAGGGAGATAGAGAGAAGTAGCAGAGAGAAAGAGAGGGAGAGAAGTGGCAGAGAGGATAGGCGGAGAAGCAAGGAAGAAGACAGTAGAAAGAGAGGGGAAGGGAAGGAAAAGAGGGAAAGGGATGAGGATAGAACCAGCCGAGAAAGGAGAAGCGAAGATAGAACCAGCCGAGAAAGGAGAAGCGAGGATAGAACCAGCCGAGAAAGGAGTGCGGCAAGAGACGGGAGCGAAGATAGGGAACAAGTTGAGGAGAGGAGACGGGATGAGAAGGCGTCCAGCCCAGCAGAGAAAGATCAAAGAAGAGAGGAGGAAAGGAGGGAAGAGAGGATGAGCGTTGATAGTGAGGAAAGGAAAAGCCAAGAGAGAAATACGGAGCGAGAGAGAAATGCCGAGCGAGAGAGAAATGCCGAGCGAGAGAGAAATGCCGAGCGAGAGAGAAATGCCGAGCAAGAGCGTGACCAGAAGATGGAGTCTGAGCCCGATGGAGAGGATGAGCCTCTTGAGAGGGATAGACAGAACAGAGAAACAAGAAGGCAAAGTGTGGACTCAGATGATGAAGAGAAGGACGACAGAAAAGAGCGGGAACAGCAGAACAAGGATGGAAGCAGTAGCGAAGAGGAGAGAGAGACGAATGGGCTGAAGAAGAGTGCCTCGGAGGAACGACGAGGGAGGAGCAGAGAGTCTGAGGATGATGGCGTGAGGGAAACAGAGCGAAGAAGGAGCAAAGGGGACAGTGAAGAACGGGGGGATCAGCGGAGGTCGAGCAGGGGGAAGCAGGAAGTAGACGAAAGCGACGATGGCGATGGCGGTGACCGAGTCAGAGCTCGGAGCGCCAGCTCGGACAGCGACAGGGATAGTAAAGCTAGGGGTAAAAGGAAAAGCGGAAGTCCGGTGCAGGCCAAAAGGAGTAGCAGGGCCCGAACTGACTCTGGACGTCGAGACAGCCACAGCAGGTCGCCGTCGCCAGTACGAAAGAAAACAAGATCGTCTGAAAGGTAATTGGCTCTTTTTTTGTCTGTGTGTGTGTGCGTGGAACAGTCTTTTGTAAGCTCCTTTTGCGTGGCGTGCAACACATATTTTACAGTTGGGCACATTCTGACGGAATGTGTCAACTTTGACGATATACGCATAAAATACTTCAGATGTAAAGATATCAAAACTCTTTTTGACATCGTTAGTCCGAGAAAATTTTTTGGTTTTATAAAAGAAATAGGATTGTTTCATAGGGTATAAAAAATGTATTGTTGTTATTGTCGGTGTTTTTACATACACTGAAATTAATATTGTAAATACCCATGTAAATAAGAGTCTTTACCATATATACAAGGATTTTCATAAATGTCTGTCCCTTCCTTTTAACATGATGATGATATGGCCGTATGCAGTTGCGAGCGCCGTATAACTCTGACTAAAACATAACATGAAGAAAGATTTGTTAAAATAAAACTTGTTGGCACTTATATGACCAAAATTGAGTCGATAGTGCCGTTAAACACCTACTCAATCAATCAATCAATCAAAAACAGTCTTTTGTTTGCCAACTGTTATTATCCAGCAGAAGAAGATCATATTGACTGTTTAGTGTAAAGCTCCGCCATATGCCAATTTGAAAAGTGGTGTATGGATGAAGTCTTACACTAAGCCGTGGTTGTGTTTGGAAAGGTGCTTGGGTTTTTGTGTGTGTGTGTTTGGGTCTGTTTTGGTTTTCTTTTAGTGTGTAAGCCCCTGTGTGAGGAGTGGGGTAATTTCAAATCCTAAGAGCAGGAGTTCTCATCTACTGTCACTCGCCATTCCTCTCATGGGTTTGAGAGACCAAAAGAAAGACAAGACTACGCTTTTCAATGCAGCAAAATGTGTGAACCCTTTGTGACCAGATCACAGTCAAACTGTAATTTGAGGAATATAAACAGAATGGCAGTTTGAAGAAATAAAATAGAATACAGAGCAAAATCTCAATGAACGGTATGTCTGATCATTTGCTTAGTTGTTTCGCTCCACTGCCTCGGTAATGACGTTTTTGGTCTCAAAGTAAATGTACATTGCTCATACCCTCACCCTTCCTTCCTTCCTCCCTCGCACACATAGCCAACACACTTTCTCAAACGGTGTGCACAGGAGCACGTAAACACACACACACACACACACACACACTCACACATCAAGCCACCATCCTCCAGATTTTGTTGTACATCCTGTATCATTGTAAAGCACATTGAGTGAGCACTTTCTTGGTGGAGGTGTGCTGAATAAGTGACTTTTGCTATTATTATTATATTGTTTGATTCTCAGGCGCAAGAGTCAGCGAGGAAAGAGAGCTGGTGACAGCGACTGAAGCACGTGATCATGGGAAGGATGCAGGACTGAAACCAGCTGTATTGAGAACTTACCTGAAGCTCCTTTTGTTTTACCCATCTTTTAGATTTGTTCACTACTGCTATCCCTACTTTGTGATGTAGAGGTCTAATGATAATAATAATAATAGTTCGGCCGTCAGTTTTCCGACGTTGAGCAATGCATTTGCAGAGAATAGTATTTCTATAAATGCGAAATAAGGGTTAAGATGACTTGTAGCTTCTGCTATGGTCAATGAGACCAGTTCTGGCAGAGAAGACTCTGGGGATGCATTGACTAAGATATTGACTGTATACTGTATGACACTAACAATAATAATACGGTAATAACGATAGATTGCATTGATATAGTGCTCTGTCACAGTACATGTATATATATATACAACAAGCATAAGCTCTGAACGCTTTATATGAATGACATGATTACTGAGAGTAAAACCTCTTACAGTACAGTTAACTTGCAAATGAGGAAAATCATTTTGTGTAAATTATAAGAAAACCAGTTCAACCACATGAGGAAGAACTTTCTCAGCCATACATTAATGAGCGCTTTACATCGATAGCATGATTACTGAGAGTAAAACCTCTTACTCGTCAGGATTATCGTTTCGTATAAACAAGAAATCCAGTTCAATCTCATAAGGAAGAACTTTTCTCTGTCATGCATTGATCATATAATGTATACTTATACATACACATCAGGACAGCAGTAAAAACAAGACACACCAGTGTCAGTCTGCTTACTACACCTCACATCCATCCTGGCCACCTGCTTGAGCCATGTTTTATAGGCTGAAAATATACTGCCTCGCTCAACAGAAGTACGCCGCGAAAAAATCATGCCCTCCTCTTTATTTCCTATCGGTGATTTCACTGACACTTGACATGACTAGGCGTGAGGAGTCGTGAGGACCGAAAAAGACATGCGTGTGTGCCCCACTTTTTTTTTGCGTGCGGACAGGCTCACCCTGCTATCAACTATCAGAGTGTTCTGCGATGCCTTGGAGATGAATCAAAGGGGGGGGGGGGCGACCACGGAGCTGTAAACGCCTGCTCAGCGCCATTTTTTTACACAGTCAGACAATATCTATGGGATCACCACTTCCGACCCAGCTACACGTTCGTTTCGCGGCGCACTTCAGTTGTGCGTGGCGGTATATTTCCAGCCTAAAGTGACAGGCGCTATGTTGTAATGGAGGGTTGGAAAATTTCTCCACTTTCTTCAATAGTCCCTTGTGACGATATAACTAATTCCATCATAGTGAAACACTGCTTCTTTCTTTCAGCATTGCTGCCAATTTGCTCCTTTTTTAATCAAATTAAAATGCTACTTTTTCTGTTTTGGACAAACCGTTACATCTCATGTTTTAAATTACCATTATTCGTCATTAGCACAATTCCTCCCCCTTCATAGCCTTATATGGGCTGCCTCACCTATTTTAACAAATGTGCATCTTACAATTTAAGAAAGAATTGTATATTCAATTATCTTTTCCTGTATCTTTTTGTAGTCAGTAGTCTTGTCAATGGCTTCAACAGGAAAAAGGCAACGCTGGGTTTCGTACTGTTTTTTGCGAGACGGAAACTTACCCCAGAAGATAAGTTGGGGTTTTGTTGAGATCTGGAGCGACTTCTGTGCGTCAAGTTAGTTTAGGTTGCACAGCTTTGCTACAGTTGTGCCAGAATTATCAAGGCTCTGTTCATGCTCAACTGTCAGCTTTCACAGACTAGAGTGTGAAAGGTAACCTTGTGGTTGATAGAATTGGTTGCTTTCAAGCACAAAGGGGCTGTCCCGAAAAATGCTGTTTTGAGAGAATCGGAGGTAAAGTTTTTTCCCCCCTTGTTCAGTTTCTTTAAAAGACTTGGAGAGTTTTCTCTACAACCAAACAAATATACACACCAATGAAACCAAACTTTTCTCTCTATAGGTAGGGCTATGCCCACTTTTGGTGTAGGTCAAGATTTCTGGAAACCCCCGAAATCTGGGTTAGCCCGCTTGTCCTTAAAACTAAAAGCGACCAGCCAATTTAAGATTTAGTATTTTATATTCATTTGAATGGTAGGAGATGAATCTTATAAAGAACATTGTGAGTAGTATCTGTTCAAAGCTTGCACTGTGGTTGCATGCTTGGGGGAAAATGTACCTGTTTCCATTCTATGGACTGCTCAGTGTAACTTTGTAAGTCTCCCGAGTCAAAATGGCGTATGGCTGAGTCTAACATAAAACAGTCGGTATATGTGGTCTGGTCAGAGAATGTGTGAAGTTAATTCAAGTAGTATGAGAGTGAGTGAGAGTTTGAAGTGTGTAGTTGGCATGCATTTCAAGTCCTTCATTTATGGGTTCTTAGTGTATCTCAGAAAGAATTGTGGCCGGAAAGACTTTGTGAGGATGAAAGTGAAAGTTGGGTCCCACGGGTACACCAAACTAACTGTGTTGTACCACTGATGTTTCCGTTTGTCTTACTTTGTTCAAGATTTTATTACTGTTGTGATAATTTCATTGTGCTTTTCTTTTGACTTGAATGAACAATCATAGAAGACTTGTTGTTTGAGTGGGGCTGTGTTCTGTGTTCAATGTATGAGAGTTCATTCCCCTGTTTGTTGTACTGGCGCTTAAAGCTTTTTTTAGGAGATTGTGTTGCAATGATCAACATGGGACTTGCATGACTGTTTCACATTCAAATTTTATTATTACTTTTGATGGAGAATAAAGATTTCACAAGTTGAAAACCTGTCGCTTTTCTATATTGTCTTGTGGTCTTGATGTTGATTGGGGGACCTGAAGATGAAGAATAAGAACATGAACCCTACATTATTAGTACAATTTTGTTGAAATTATAATGCACCATGCTCATGCGTTGTGTCATTTTTGGGGGCTTGTTTGTAAAAGTCTCTCCATTTGAATACTACTACTAATGGGCTTTGTTCTTATTCACAAAAGGTCTTGACATTTCGCAATTTTCCTTATGTGCGTTTTTGGCGGGTGCTCTAGTTTGGTTTGCTCATTTTTCCCTTCTATTACTACGAAACATCTATCATCATCCTGATCTCTCCTTCTCTGTGCTTATTGCTTTCTTGTAATATGTAACACCTCTAATCCTCTGCACTTATATGACATTAATTATTGTGTCGCAAGTGCCTTAAAACTCTTACGAAAACTTTTTTAAAAATTCCTTCAGCGTTGGCAGTTATTTGAGAACCAATAGAGTACCTAGTACTACTTGTACTAGAACTCTGAGAAGACATTTTTTCTGAAACAAAAAGGACTTGAGCACTCAAACTCGGACTCTCAAAAGTGTAATAAATACATTTTTTAAAATATGTGTGTGCACCTAGAGAAAGGTACCAAAAGTTGCCCCAGACCGTTTCAAGCTACAGGCTGATAATGACAAAAATCACTTTTTTGACCACCGGGAGTTTCCATTAAAAAAATTATAGATCCACCATTTTTTTACAATGTGCTTAAAGGGTTTTCATTGATTTGACTTCTAAATAATTTATTTTGAATTATTTTAAGGGTAGGGTATAATAAAAAACAAATAATTATAATGGAAACTGCCTTTAAAAGGTTGTAAAATCTATTCTTGAAGCACGTTTTCTCGCAAAATATGCAATATGTAAAAAACTACTTGAGATATCTCAAAAATTCACAAACCCCTGTGTTCAGCATTGAATTTCCGATAATGTACAACCCCTAACTCAAAATGGTCGAAATCCGACTTATGGTAGCCTACCTTTCTTTGGGAAATTGAGCACACACATCATATACTAGTTGGCAGAGCATGATAATGTAGAAAAAATGCAAAGGGGAAAGTGGGAAGTGAGACAAGTGACTGTTGAAGCAGGTTCTACTGTCAACTGTCATGTATGATGGAGATGCTTTACAAAGAGATGAAGGGGTTGTTTTGTTTTGTTTTGTTGAAGGGGGGAGATTTACAATCCCATTCAACAGACACAAGTAAGATTTTTTTTTTGAGGTAGCATGTCAACTTATTGATAGCACATAAACCTAATAATACCTATATATATTCATGACTGGCCCACAAGTTCTGCATGCAGGGACCGTATTTTGAAACTTCAGATAAGGAGGTAGATTCAATCATGTCTAACTTGAGCAGCCGACTCCCTGGACTTTTTTTTGTTAACTTGCAAGGTATAAAACACAAAGATACCATTTTGTCTAGTTATTTCTGTTATTGACACTAGAAGAACAGTTGTTATTTTAAGCATTTGTTTTTTTGTTTTACCCCGTATAAGAGTTGTGTCGAATAAGTCTTTTCATTTGCAGTTGCAACTTTGCTAATTTTCAGGTATTTTCACAAAACCCAGATGGCGTCCGTGACCTGATGTTTGAGTAAAAAAAAGCACACCAAAAACACAGTAATGGTCATTTAGAGTGGCGTCGGTGGCCTAGTGGTTAGGCTCTCGGACTCGCAACCGTAAGGTCGTGGGTTCGAATCCTGTCAGGGACCCAACGTTGTGTCCTTGGGAAAGGCACTTTACACGAGTTTTCCTCACTTCACCCAGGTGGGAATGGGTACCCAGCTATAAACAGTGAAAGATCTTGTCAGTTTGTAAGTGTTTGAGCGCTTAATCAGCTGCTTGCACTGTATGCTTTCTGGGAAGCTGAGAATGTTTCGGAGTGTTCTATGGTCTGCTGGGGTAATAATATAGTGTAAAGCGCATAGAGCTTGCTGTCGAGCGGGGATATGCGCTATACAAATGCTATTTATTAATATTATTATTATTATTATTATTTAGTGCAGGGACAAAGGTAGACACTCAGGCAGAAACAACAGAGGGAAGATAAAGAAGTAGGACCTATCAGTGGTGCCCTCCAACTACCCGCATACCTGATTTTTTACAAATCAGGAATGACCCAAAGCTGAACTACAGAAACTACATATAATTTCCAGATCACAGACGAGGGAGGGGGCTCTCATGGCCTAGAGGTTAAGGTGTTGGCCTCTCATTCAAAAGTCCCGGGTTCGAATTCGGGTAGCGACCGAAAAATTTTCTTCTCTAAAATTGTCTCCTTTCAACTCCTTTCCTGCTCTCAAGCAATGTTCTGTCGCCTGCTTTCGTCTCCTCTTTCTGCCCCCACGCCCTCACCTCCTTTGGCCCCTCCTCTGGGCTCCTGACTCTTTCTGCAGCCTTTCTACTGCTACTCCTTGACTCCTCCTTACAGCTGTCTTCTGGTAGGAAAGATCTACACCTAGCCTTCTCGGACAAGGGCGAAAAATCTCAGAGGGCCCGAGTGCAAGTTGCGCACGTTAAAGATCCCTTCCTTGGTGGTCTAAAATCGATAAGAGTAGGCTTCGGCCGCCACCCGGGCAAAATTCAAAATTTCCTACCAACTAAAAGTATTAGGTGTGTCCCGCGCGCTCACATGACCTTATGCAGTTGCGAGCGCCGTAAAAACACTTACCAAAAAAAAAACCAAACCCACAAACAAAACAGACGAGGGAAAGAAGTAGGCCTACATCATATATATATTACAGCCTGTAGCTGCCATCCAAAAGATTCTGCAAACAAATCTGTCAGAAAGGTGTAATAAGACATTTATTATTGATGCTTACTTTGCTCTTTCATTTTGCTTTTCCCTTCCTCTTATATCTTTAAGGATGTCGAGGTTAGTTTTAGTTTAGTAAGAGTTTTACGGCACTTGCAACACAATAAGGTCATATAAGTGCCGAATATTAGTGTTTGTTTTTTGTTTTAGTAGAGGTTTTACGGCGCTCGCAACTGCATAAGGTCATATAAGTGCCGAATATTAGTGGAGTTACAAGAGAGTGACTAACACAAAAAAGAAGGAGGGGAGATAAAGACGATAGATGTTTAATAGAAAGGAAGAAGCAAACTACACCAGAGCACCTGCCAACCACCCACTGACAGGAGAAGAAAGTGATGTAACTTTCCTGTCCAGTAGTGAACTCAAGTACACTGAATGAATTTCTATTGCAAAGTCTCAGTTTTAGTAAGCATTTTATGGCATTTACAAACAGGCCCACTTTTGGCACTACATATAATATAATATATTATATATAGTGCCAAAAGAGTTACAAGTACAAGAGAGTAGCAAACACGAAAAAGAAGGAGAGAGATTTTTTAATTTTTGGTAAGTGTTTTCAATACCTGCGTGCAATAGTGCAGGAGCCCAGAGGAGGGGGCAAAAGGAGTGAGGGGGTGGGGGCAGAAAGAGGAAACGAAAGCAGATGACAGAACATTGCTAGAGAGCAGGAAAGGAGGTGAAAAAAGGAGACAATTTTAGAGAAGAAAATTTTTCGGTCACTACTCGGATTCGAACCCGGGACCTTGGAATGAGAGGCCAACACCTTAACCACGAGAGCCCCCGAACGAGAGATAAGGATGACAGATGTTTCATAGGAAAAAAGGAGCACACCACACCTGAGCACCCACCAACAGAGACTTCATTGTAGTTATAGCAATAAAGTTTAGCATGATGTAAAGACTGTACAAGCAAATAGGTCATTAGACACAGACTCGCTTCACTTCTATCTCTCAATCCAACACTGAAGGAAAACTCGGCTGATATTAATTCAACATTTGATCTTTAATGGATGAAGAATTATGCACAGTCAGTTGAATCATCAAATATTCACTCATACTTCATACATGTACAAAATGTGCATACACACACAGAAACACACCACAGTCATGAGACAAGTTTTATGAACTTCAGAAAACTATGCACACAATAAATGTTTTCTAAAATAAGATGCCTCCTATACCAAGCCAATGCATGGATCAACAAC